TCACCATGTATTTCTGATGATATTAAGTGAGTTGTTATGTTTTGAAAGCTTACATGCTGTGTAATACATTAACTCATTCAAAAACTTAGTTTCAAGTTCGTTGAATACTTTTATAAGAAAAATAATAGTTTGTATGTAGGCATATGCCATTTCCTGTAGTAATATTGGATCCTTATAATTCTCTAATGTGTGGATGCATTTTCAAGGGTTTTGGATGCTTACCGAACTGGCCGAGGGCGTGTTGTAGTTAGAGGAAAAGCTGAAGTTGAACTGCTGGATCCAAAAACAAAGCGGAACGCAGTTATTATCACAGAGGTAGTCAATTTACTTTTTCAGATTAATGTACAGATCTCCAAGGAGGAGGCTTTCAAAAAGGTTTATTAGCTGTATCATGATGGTAAAAAGCAGTTGAATAATGCCTTTAGTGTGAATTTATTGCAGATTCCTTACCAGACAAACAAAGCTACTCTTGTCCAGAAGATTGCCGAGCTTGTTGAAAATAAGGTACAACTAAACTTGCAACATCTAATGCTTATTTTGCTTCACTTACCAATATGTACTTATTTTATTCACAGGTGTGGTACAGTTCTAGTATTTCACTTTCCTTAGATGCTTGCAAAATTTCTTTTTCATTTTATTGATGTTAGGTGTATGTTAATTTCAGACGCTAGAGGGCATAAGTGACATTCGTGACGAGAGTGATCGTAATGGGATGCGTGTGGTTATTGAGGTATTACATGGCTTTTTCTGCACTTAGATGTATTAGTCTGCTGTAAATTCTCGTATTGGAAGGTAATGATTTTGCAATAATATTCCATTACTTCTATGTAGCTCAAACGAGGAGGGGATCCTGCGCTTGTGCTAAATAATCTTTACCGGCATACTGCCCTTCAATCAAGCTTCAGCTGCAACATGGTGGGGTGAGTTGCTTTGAAGTACAATTTTATTTTCTGTTGTTGTGTCTAACCCAAGACATCATAATTGTGGAAGAAACAGATAATAAAATCCACATTTGTTATCTAGAGAAACTAGTGCGGTTTGTGTAAAAAAAATGAACAACGAAGTCTTTCAGTTCGGCAAATTTTTTGGAATACTAATAAGTATCCCTTCTCGAAAACATAGTTTTGATTTTAGTTACTTCTCGTCCTTCTGTAATAAAAGTAAGAGTTGGGAGAAATGTAAGATGGATGTAGCTGAATGCATAAACCACAGCTTGTCTTATATCTCAGTAATGAGATTAACCGAAAGGCATATGGGTGGGCATGGAATAGGGTGTTTGATAGTAATTTCTGTATTTCTTGATAGAAAATAAGCATATAAAAAGAAACTTGGGGGGTTTCCCAGGATGACTCGTTGGAAATCTTCTACTGAGTATGTAAAGCTTGTAGATATATTGGGGATCACATATGTGTGTTTTTCTTGATCGTAACTGAATTGTGATATTACGTGTTTTACAGTATCTGTGACGGAGAACCCAAGCTAATGGGTTTGAAAGAATTGCTTCAGGTAACTACTTGTCTTTGTAATTTCATTTATCTACATAACCCACAAGGAGTAATAGAATAGTAAATTATTGATTACTTTCTGTTGGTTGCTTGTGTGTAGGCCTTTATCGATTTCAGATGTTCTGTTGTCGAAAGGCGTGCAAGGTTCAAGCTTTCGCATGCTCAACAGCGAAAGCATATTATTGAGGTGTGTTTATAAATGTTTGACTTTCTTAAATCAGCGCATGAAGACAACTATTCTCACTATGTGAAGCTTTTCTTCTAATATCTTCACTGTATATATGCTTAGGGTATTGTAGTTGGACTTGACAATATGGATAAAGTAATTCAGCTCATCAAAAACGCCACAAGTCATTCGTCTGCTGCCACTGCTTTACAAAGTGGTGAGCTGTGTTTCACTTTGACAATATTTCTGTTTGACACTCTTGGACTGCACATGATAGGTTGATGTGTTAACAAAGTTCTGAAAAGTGAGCGAGTACTGGGAGTTGAAAAGTAACAGTGAGAAAAGTAAACTAGATCCAATTTTTCTTAGGTGGACTGATAGACTAAGTATATATACTTTCTTATCTTTTTATCTGAAAGTGCTGGAGTCTCGTACATTGTAAGATTTGACGTTTATGACAAAGATTAGGGATTTCTTTTTCTTAAAGTCTCTATTGTAAGGGAAGGTACCGTAGATTAAAATTAACATATTCAAACATCTACGTATGTAGAATATGGTCTTTCTGAGAAACAAGCTGATGCTATTCTGGAGATAAGTCTTCGAAGGCTAACTGCTCTTGAGGTGCTTTCTTATTCTCGCTAAGTTCATTTTATGAAACTTGTAAGCTTGAAAATGTTCTAACTAGATTCTCTATTCATATGTATGCAGCGGAAAAAGTTTACTGATGAGAGTAGTTCACTGACAGAGCAAATTACAAAGTTGGAGCAGCTATTATCGACCCGAACAAATATCTTAAAGGTGACATACTTGCTTTTTAGTTATCTATTACTGTACTTTTGGCTGAAGATTTGTAATACTGATTGTTCGCGTCCACTGAGGTTCAAACTCCGGTCCATGTATGGCGATTTGGTCAAATGTTTTAATGCTTCTTCCATTTCTTTTTTAGCTAAAATGGAACCCTCTGCTTTCTCAAGAAACAGTATTTGGTGCTTTACTTATTGTATGTATATGTTGCTGTTCTAGGCCATTGTCAGGGAACTTGCTGATTCATTACCAAAACATGGTTCTTTGTTTCGTTTACTCCATTTTCATGTTACTTATTACTTTCTTCCATTCGTTTTCTTTAGTTAATCGAACAAGAAGCAATAGAGCTGAAGGACAGATTCTCAAGTCCCAGGCGTTCAATGTTGGAGGATTCTGACAGTGGTGATCTGGAAGATATAGATGTTATTCCAAATGAAGAGATGCTGATGGTATGTTGCATACTTAAACCTAGAAAGTTTCTCAACGCTGAAAAATTTGTTGTGTGTTTCGTAACTCCTGATTTCTGGATGATTATAGGCAATCAGCGAAAAGGGTTATGTGAAGAGGATGAAGCCTGATACATTCAATCTTCAGCATCGTGGAACCATTGGCAAATCTGTTGGGAAACTGAGAGTTGATGATGCAATGTCTGATTTTCTTGTGTGTCATGCACATGACCATGTCCTCTTCTTCAGGTATGTTTAACGGAAATCGCCTTATTGTTTGCCACACACATGGATTTTGATTTTCTGCCTTGTTGTGTAATTCATTGCTTATAATTGTTCTAATTCAGCGACCGGGGCATAGTTTACTCGACCCGTGCGTATAAAATTCCAGAATGCTCACGCAATGCAGCGGGCACACCTTTGGTTCAGGTAATCTACAAGTCTGTGTATATATGTTTTCTTTCTGCTACGGCGAGAAAATATTACAAATCTCTGAAAGGGTAATGTTTCACTGTATTCATGTGACTTGTGGAAACAGATATTATCCATGTCGGAAGGTGAAAGAGTAACTTCCATCGTTCCGGTTAGCGAATTTGCTGAAGATCGCTATCTCCTGATGCTTACAGTGAATGGCTGCATCAAGAAAGTATCTTTGAAACTATTTTCAGGCATACGCTCAACTGGAATCATAGCAATTCAATTGGTTTGTCCCTTTTTCTCTTGTTTGATTTTGGTTACAGTCTTCCTAACATGGTTATTCTAACAAAATTACTTGTCTTTAGAATTCTGGTGATGAACTGAAATGGGTTCGTTGTTGCTCAAGCGATGATCTTGTGGCCATGGCGTCCCAAAACGGAATGGTCGTCTTGAGTACATGTGACGGTGTAAGTTGTGTTTCTTGATTACTTTATCGAGTAAAGGTTTTGTTACATGAGCAAACTCTGATGGCTGTTGTTTATTAGGTTCGTACACTGAGCAGAAATACAAAAGGAGTGACTGCCATGAGACTTAAGAAAGAGGATAAGATGGCGAGCATGGACATCATACCTTCCTCTCTGCGGAAAGATATGGAAGAGAAGTCGGAAGATATTTCAACTGTGTAATTTTTCTTAAGTTCTATCTGCTGAAATATTTTTTGGAAACTTCTCATCACTTAGTTAATGTTTTACTATCTTCTTTACTTTGTTAACTCAAAACAAATGCAGGAAACAATCCACTGGTCCATGGCTATTATTCGTCTGTGAGAATGGTTATGGAAAACGTGTTCCTCTGAGTAGCTTCCGGCGTTCGCGGTTGAACAGAGTTGGTTTACTTGGATACAAGGTATGATCTGGATTATTATCATCTTTTTTTAAGGTTTGTTTGTTTATTTTTTCCTTTCATCTCAACTTTTCAGTTTGCGGAAGATGATCGTTTGGCTGCTGTTTTCGTGGTTGGTTACTCCTTAGCAGGTAAATATATACACTCTTCCAGAAATAAGGATTTATATGTTCTGTGATTGCTGTGTTATGTAGAATCTCACCAAAGGGTTTTCTTGCAGAGGATGGAGAGAGCGATGAGCAAGTAGTTTTGGTGAGTCAAAGTGGAACTGTGAACCGGATCAAAGTCAGGGATATCTCCATTCAATCTCGCAGAGCACGGTATATGTTTATGCCCTTCATTTGACAGACTTTCCTAGTGTTTATGCAGATGTTTTCTCATTTATTTGATTGTTAATTTCTCAGGGGAGTGATTCTTATGCGGCTAGATCATGCCGGAAAGATCCAATCTGCTTCTCTGATTTCTGCAGCAGATGAAGAAGAAACAGAGGAAATTCCAAGTACTGAAACCATAGAAGCCGTTAGCCTGTAAATTTTACAATCCCAAATCAACCAGTTTTGTGACCATGATCAGTTCAGTACATAGCGTCTATGTGCGTTTGGTCAACTCTTAGTCTTTTTGTTTTCCTATGTTACTACGAGAAGAGAAAACCATGATCGAAGTTAGTTATTAACATTAATCTACCTAACATTTTCTTCGGTTAAATATCTTTTTCAGAAAGTTGAAAAAATAACTCTGGTTATGCCAAATAGTGTTGTTATCACCCACTTTTATTTTGTTGTTAACAAAATCAAGAGAAATATTTTACAAGTGGTACAAATACATAAGCACCAAAGCCCATAATCACAAGAGCAGCTGCGCCGACATTAACTAAAGATACGTCATATGTCCGGGTGTCTTCTTCACCTTTTCCGTTTCCTCCTGCTGCAGGAAGAGAGTCCATGCTGTTCTTGGTCTGTCCAGCGTTATCCTCATGTTCTCCTGTATATTTGGCTAAACTGGTTTCCCCTATCTTCTTTTGCTCCACTCTCTCTTGGATCTCTCCTTCACTTACCATGTCTCCAACTATTTCCTTTTTCTCATCCTGATTGTTTCTCAAGCCATCGTCAGCATCCAGCTCAGTTCTTTCATCTCTTTCTTTCGTTTTTAGCTGAGACTCTGCTTGATTCATCTTCTCTGTTCTTCTTGCCTCATCACCAACAACTGGTTTTGTGTATTTCTCCTGTTCCTTTTGGCCCAGTTTAATATTTCCTTCCTCTTTCAGCTTCTGACCTATTTCACCATCTCCCTTTTGTCCAACAAGATTAGCATGTACCTTAGGTTTCAAGCCAGTATCAACTGCCGGTGATCTACTGATAATCTCTTTCTCCTTCACCATTTGCCCAGTCTTATTCTGACTTATATCAGCATCTTTCTTCCCCTCACTTGCTTTCTCTTCTATCGCACGTACCTTGGCTTTTATGCTACTAGCACCAAGGGCTGGTGAACGTTTAGCCTCTTCTTCCTTCACTTTCTGTCCAATCTTCTGCTGACCTATTTGAGGAGCTTCCTTTCTCTCAACCACCTTCTCTTCTTTCGCACGTTCCTTGAGTTTCAAGCTACCACCAAGGGTCGGTGTACTTCTAGCCTCTTCCTCCTTCAACTTCTGTCCAGTCTTTTGCTGACTCATTTGAGTAGCCCCCTTTCTCTCAACCACCTTCGCTTCTTTCGCGCTCTCCTTGCCCCTTACTTTAGGGATCGCTTCTCCTGCTTTTACTTTCGGTTCAGACTTCTCTACATTTCCAGTTGGCACCGTTCTTTTACCCTCAACCACTGATTTATACGTTTTCGGTTCTTCTTTATTCAACGTTGGAGCAGGTTTCTCTTCGCTTGTTCCCACTTGTTTCTCCTCGATCAAAGGTTTCTTTCGTCCCAAGGTACTCCCATTAGGACCACTTTTCTCCTGATTAGACCTCTGTCCAATCTTCCCCTGATCTTGGACACCTTCCACGATCGCTTGAAACTCGATCGTCAAGAGTCCATGTGAGAAGCTTGTGCTCAATTTACTCATGTCACAGGACTCAGGGACACGGTAAGCTTCATTGAAACGAGCCTTAGTCTGCGTAGAGAGCGGTCGCTGGCCTTGAATCTGGACAGTCCTCGTCCTCACATCCATCTTTATTGATATTTGATCCCTATAAAACCCTGTCCATTCCACACAATAAACTCATAAAGATTGCTTCAGTTTAAAATTGAACTCAAGAAAGAAAGAAGAGAAAAAAGACCAGGAAGGTTGACGTAGAGGAAAATGGAAGATCCGGAGTTAGTCCATTGAGCTCTCGGTTTGAAACTGCTCACAGTCGGAGCCAGCGGTGGCGGGTGACTACCACCGCCCGGTTTTGGTCTCCTGAACATCGCCGCCATATCACTATTACTTTTTCAGGAAAAAAAAAAAAATACTGAAAAGTTCTTTTTGAAATTAAGTTAATCAAACGGACTATGAAACATAGAAACAAGTGTTTGAATGTTTTATATAAGATGTAGTTAGAAAGCAATGGGAGGTTTTGAGATTAGGGTTTGGGTTTAGAATTGCTTTAGGGTATTGAATTTGTCTGTTTCTTCATCCCAAGGTCTCTCATATCATCATATGTAAATGGTTTCTCACTTTCTTGTACTTCAAGGAAAGAAGCTTTTTAAGGTTGAAGAAGATGCGTACCAAAAAAAAAAAAAAAAGATGCGTACCAACACAAAGTGACGTCGTTTTATATCCTTTATTTATTTTTCTTTTAAAAAGCTAGTAGCCTATTTGTATATACTGTATACAACGTGGCATTGAACACGTGAAATTAAGATTCCCTGGACCTAACTACACCATACTCCATCACTCACCGGATAACCTCCGTCGTCTTCCGCCGCAATTTCTCTCTTTCTCCATGGCCGGCGTTAATCTACAGCTCCGTCACGCTTACTCTATTGCTCAATTCGTTCCAACTATTTCTTCTCCTCCTCCTCCTGCTCAACGAGTTCGGTTTGGAACTTCACCCTCTCGTGTTCTCTTCTGCAATCTCCGAGCTAATTCCGCCGCCGCTGCTCCAACCCTGAGAACCACCCGCCGTGAAGTAACCACTGCCGCGTCTTCCGTATCCTCAGCCGTCGATTCGGATTCGCTGGTGGAAGATCGCAATGACGGAGGCAGGATCCCGTTGCTTGAGGTTAAGGATTTGAGAGCTGTGATTGCTGAATCGAGGCAAGAGATACTAAAAGGCGTCAATTTGGTGGTCTACGAAGGAGAGGTGCGTATCTTTTGACTGAGGTTTTATGACTTGAAATTTAATTACCAGAAAGCTTTCCTATGGTGTCACATCATATGAGAATGTTTGAGTTTGAAATTTTTGTCAGAAATAATGAGTTGAGAATCGATTGAAATTGTGAAATTCGACGTTTTAGATTGGTCTTATGTTAGAATATTTGATTTTTTTCTCGAGGAGCTTGAACAATTTTGTTTGTGTGGATTATTTGTATTTCTGCTGATTGTAATCTATGGCTTCTTTCATGGTTGCTAACCAACTCATAGGTTCACGCAGTGATGGGGAAGAACGGTTCAGGGAAGAGCACATTTTCCAAGGTGATTTTGTTACTTGTTTTGAACCTTTAGGTTGCTAACCAACACATAGGTTCACGCAGTGGTTTTATCTTTGTATCTCAGGATAATCCTCTGTGCTGCATAGTCTTGTTCTCCTCCTGTTTCTTTTACAGTGAGCCTTTTTTTTTAATGTAGGTTCTTGTTGGCCATCCTGATTATGAAGTGACTGGAGGGAGTATTGTGTTTAAAGGGCAGAATCTACTTGATATGGAACCAGAGGAAAGATCTCTTGCTGGTCTCTTCATGAGTTTCCAGTCTCCAGTTGAGATCCCTGGTGTTAGCAATATGGATTTCTTGAATATGGCATTCAATGCCCGTAAAAGAAAGCTCGGTCAGCCAGAGCTTGATCCAATCCAGGTGCTTTGCCTAATTAGAGGTTTTGGATTTAGTTTGCATTGTTCTTACTTGTTGTGTGCGACTATGCCAATTGGTCCCCATTGCAAAACTGTATATTTGCCTATCTTCTGTCTTAGTTCTGACTGATATCTCATTGCTCATGCAGTTCTACAGCCACTTAGTGTCAAAACTTGAAGTTGTGAATATGAAGACCGATTTTCTCAACAGAAATGTCAATGAAGGATTTAGTGGCGGTGAAAGGAAACGCAACGAGATTCTACAGTTAGCGGTATTGCTTCCATTTTTCCCTTGTTTCTCAGTTGCAACAAGCAAGCACCACATGCTTCTACCATACTCATGTTAAAACGGCAAATCTAATAATTAGGGATTTAAGATATTTGGGTAGACTTGCTTAATCAGGTACAGTTTGTTTTCATAAACAAAAAAGGAAGTTGCTGTAGCAAATAGTATTCTATTAAAAGTAGTTGACTTCTGTTTAGCTGAAAGGATCTGGCATATTATATATCTCCCTATCTCCTTATATTTCCTTGTTCTTGAAATATCTGCAACTGCTAGCAATGGAGACCTTTCCTTATCTGGAGCTTGTATTATGTATTTAATGTGCTTTAGCATAAGAATGTCATGCTATAGTGTTCTGCCTCCCAAGGAGTGGGTATTTCTTGTTTATCGATAGCATGAGCACAGTCGTCTTATTTGATTTATTCATAGAAAGCGGTATTAAAAGTACACTAATGCAAAGATTTGGTAATGTATTTCCTGTCCTTGCAGGTCCTTGGAGCCGAGTTGGCTATACTGGACGAGATTGATTCGGGGTTGGATGTTGATGCTCTTCAGGATGTGGCAAAGGCGGTGAATGGACTTTTGACACCAAAAAACTCTGTTTTGATGATAACCCACTATCAACGCCTACTTGACTACATCAAACCAACTCTCATACACATCATGGTGAGTATTGTTTCCTCCTGGGTCCACAGATCATATTGGCTCGGTTTCTATGACCCAAAACCCGAGATTTACTTCGTTTTTGTTTTTTTTCTTATTGGTGGTTAATGTATGCTGCTCGGTTTCAGGAGAATGGAAGAATCATAAAAACCGGAGACAACACCTTGGCTAAATTACTGGAAAAGGAAGGCTACAAAGCGATATCCGGTTAGTTATCGCAGATCATTCATAATCTGTCTTCCTTCTTTGAGAGACCATGGCTATATATATGGGTCAGAGACGATGGGAGCTAAAAGCTGATGATTGGAAAATCAAAAATTTCACTACAATCTTTGACCCGGAGGTTTTTTTTGGCATCATTGGTTTGCATGAGAAACTACTTCATTGGGTATCCGTTTTGTTCTGAACAGTTCTTACATACCTTTTTTTTTTCTTGTAACTAACAAACTATAAATTCAGTTAATAATCCACTATGTTCTAAATTATGCTGTGAACCTAGAGTTTAAATGAGTCAAATCAATTAAACTTGGTTCCACTACTAGAGAGATTTGACAAAATAAAATTTACTTTGATTATTCTATAGCCTGCTGATGCTGGAACGAAGTGGGGGAATTAGAAAAAAAAGATACACATCAATTAAAGAAAAGGAGAAGGCAAAATTCGTTTATAATTAAACGCAAACGCGTTTTTCAAACTCGACTAATCATCTCCTTCATCATCTTCATCTTCTCCAGAATTGACTTATCAAACAAGATTACACCTTTCTGAGGTTTTATGCAAATGTAGTGCTAACAAGCCATCCCTCGATTTTTCCCCGCTCATTTTTTCCGACCAAACCAAAACATTCTTCTTTTCTTTTCCATCCCAGATCGATCTCTTTGTTTTCAGATAATTTTCATTGTCTTCGTTTCATTTGCATCTTTTCTCTGTTCTGGGCTCGTTTGAATTTTTGTCTTGTGTAGTATTTATGTGGATGACCTGAGTAGGGGTTTTTGCTTGTTCCATCTGTATACGAAGTTTTAAATCATCGCCTCAATCCTATTATCGTCGGAGAAGAAGAGAACAAGTGGTAGATTATAAGAGATTTGACTTTCACTTATCGTGTCTATGATCATTAGGAATGCGATCAGATCAGATCAAATTTGTGTTCTGTTGATCAGATCTTGATGTGGAAAGCTTGATGCGATCCTGGAGTTAAAGTAGAGAGATATTTTGATGGGTAATGCTTGCGTAGGACCAAACATTACTGGCAATGGTTTCTTGCAAACTGTTTCGGCTGCAATGTGGCGACCACGGCTTGGAGCTGAGCAAGCTTCTTCTTCCCATGGTAATAAGGAAGTTGCCAAAGAAGCAGCTTCAGAACCAGTTCCTGATCAAGTCCAGAATAAGCCCCCTGAGCCGATCACAATGCCAAACCCAAGGACCAGTCCCGAAACCTTATCGAAACCCGGTCTAGAGAGCCAACCTGAAGAAACCAAGCAGATAGTTCTTCCTGATGAAAGCAAACAGAATGCTCTTCCTGACAGCAAGCAGAATGTTCTTGTGCACCCTGAGACAACAAAACCAGAAACCAAGTCTGAATCCAAGACAGAGGCGACAATACCAGAAACAAAGTCTGAATCCAAGCCAGAGGCGACAATACCAGAAACAAAGTCTGAATCCAAGCCAGAGGCGACAATACCAGAAACAAAGTCTGAATCCAAGCCACAGGAGACAATACCAGAAACAAAGTCTGAATCCAAGCCACAGGCGACAATACCAGAAACAAAGTCTGAATCCAACTCAGAGGCTAAACATGAACCTAAAAACTCTAAGCATATGAAGAGAGTGTCCAGTGCAGGGCTTAGAACTGAGTCAGTGTTGCAAAGGAAAACTGAAAACTTTAAGGAGTTCTATTCATTGGGAAGGAAACTTGGACAAGGGCAATTTGGGACCACGTTTTTATGCCTTGAGAAAGGTACGGAAAAAGAGTATGCGTGCAAGTCAATTTCCAAGAGGAAGCTTTTAACTGATGAGGACGTTGAAGATGTGAGGAGAGAGATTCAGATAATGCATCACTTGGCTGGTCATCCAAATGTTATTTCCATTAAAGGAGCTTATGAGGATGTTGTCGCCGTACATCTTGTGATGGAGTTGTGTTCAGGTGGGGAGCTTTTTGATAGGATCATTCAACGTGGACATTACACAGAGAGGAAAGCTGCTGAGCTTGCGAGAACTATTGTTGGAGTTCTAGAGGCTTGTCACTCTCTTGGTGTTATGCATCGAGACCTCAAGCCCGAGAATTTTCTATTTGTTAGTAAAGAGGAAGATTCCCTCTTGAAGACGATTGATTTTGGACTCTCAATGTTCTTTAAGCCAGGTTTGCTAACATTGTAACTTTTGTCTTTGATCTTTCAGTTTACAACAGCTAAGTTTGATTTTTGAATTCTATCTCTTCCACTTTTGCAGATGAGGTTTTTACAGATGTTGTTGGTAGTCCGTATTACGTAGCTCCAGAAGTTCTTAGAAAGCGTTATGGTCCTGAATCAGATGTGTGGAGTGCTGGTGTGATTGTTTACATTTTGTTAAGCGGGGTTCCTCCTTTCTGGGCAGGTAAGGGAGGTTGCATTGTAGATTAAATGCATCTTATTGTTCTTGTTAGGCTCTGAAGCAAATGTTGTTTTCATAAACTATACAGAAACCGAACAAGGTATTTTCGAGCAGGTCCTCCATGGAGATCTTGACTTTTCATCTGATCCATGGCCAAGCATCTCTGAAAGCGCAAAAGATTTAGTGAGGAAAATGCTTGTTCGTGACCCCAAGCGAAGACTAACTGCACATCAAGTTTTATGTAAGTTATTTAAGCCTAATTCATACTTCTTGATTATATTGAGCACAGAACTTAATAGTGTGCTTTATTCGAACTTCATTGTTGCTTCTTCTCAAGGTGTTTAGTGTCTGAACAGGTCATCCATGGGTACAAATTGACGGTGTGGCTCCAGATAAACCTCTGGACTCTGCTGTCTTGAGCCGTATGAAGCAATTTTCTGCAATGAACAAGTTCAAGAAAATGGCTCTTAGAGTAAGTTGTCTTTCTAATTCAAAATACGATCCCAAGAAAAGAAACTTAGAAGTTGGAACAAGTGTTACCTCTATTTCAACTTATTGTAGGTCATAGCTGAGAGCTTATCAGAAGAAGAAATAGCTGGTTTGAAAGAAATGTTCAAGATGATTGACGCTGACAATAGTGGTCAGATCACTTTCGAAGAACTGAAAGCAGGACTAAAACGAGTTGGTGCCAATCTCAAAGAGTCAGAAATTCTTGATCTAATGCAAGCTGTAAGTCTTAATCGATGGAAACTAATCCCTTTGTGTGGATTTCTTTTAGCTCAGATCCTTCACTTGGAATTCCAAACTTCAATGATTCAACTGCTCTGGTGGTAAGAATGCCTGATCAATAATCTTGTTTGGTCTGTTTCGTCTATTTCAGGCTGATGTGGATAATAGCGGAACAATTGACTACAAAGAGTTCATAGCCGCCACATTGCATCTAAACAAAATAGAGAGAGAGGACCATTTGTTTGCTGCCTTCTCCTACTTTGACAAGGACGATAGCGGCTTTATCACCCCAGATGAGCTTCAACAAGCTTGTGAGGAGTTTGGTGTCGAAGATGCCCGCATAGAAGAAATGATGCGCGATGTTGACCAAGACAAGGTAAATAGCTCATTTTCTCACACCTTACCATCTCATTCTGAAATGGCAACATATTTTCAACAATTATGAGCCACTAATAAACGCATGATATCGTTCCTAACATTCACATTGATAAGACATGTTGGGACATCTTGCATGGTAGAAAATTACAATTTTCACCAAAGCTATACACACTTTGAAAAAACATGGAATCGTTGTTGCAGGACGGGCGAATAGACTACAACGAATTTGTGGCAATGATGCAGAAAGGAAGCATAATGGGAGGACCTGCGAAGATTGGTTTAGAGAACAGCATTAGCATATCTCTAAAACATTAGTTTTCAGATTGCTAGAACAAGAAGAGCTTCCTATTGTTTTCTATGAATGATGATGATTCATGATTGTGTTCTTTTTGTTCTCAACATTTTGATGAGGTTTTGTCGTTAGACTGGTTTAGGTAAAATCTGTTTTTGTACTGTGTACTTTTATGCATATACACATAGTTTTTGTCTGCAAACTTTTTGCTGCCTGGCCATTATGTTTCAATTTTTTAATTTTTAAGTACAGTTCAGGTACTGAGTCTGAGAGAATCCTTCGTATTAACCGAGGTGAAGTTTTTTTATTTTCACTAAAGTCTGAGATTTTTTTATTTCCTCCCGCGAGTGGTTGTGGGGCCTGATTCACCTCTAAAGCCCAGCCCACTATGTATCACCGTTTCTATTGGAGATATTTAAGCGTGACTCGAGTATATTGTCAAACGCTAAATCTTAACCGTCATATGAGTTCCATCTCACGGGTAAAGATGGTCTGTGTCCTTGCTTTACGTGACGGTCGCTATCGCTAGCGTTTCTTTATTACAAAGACGAATATACCCTTTCTTAGGTGCGTTGCTTTACGCTCCTCTAGTTTTTGTTTTTTAAAATTTTTATATTTTTGGTACCCTAAACATTGTTTTTTTTTTTCCGGGTTCGCTCTTTCGTCTCGATTTTGGTGCCACAAATTAGAAAAAAAAAAACCCTAATTTCACAAAAAATTTCAGTTCCCTCTTTTCTCAATAAGTTTTTCGATTTTTCCTTAGGCGGAAAGGTTCGTTGAAACCCTAGATTCGTTTCTCAGTTTTCGTTGGTGGCTAATGGCGAGCGCGGCACGCGGTGAAAGCAGCAATCCGTACGGCGGCGGATTGGGAACCGGCGGAAAGTTCCGCAAGCAGACGGCTCGAAAGTCTCAGAAAACTCCGTATGATCGACCACCGACTTCTGTGAGGAACACTGGACTTGGGGGCGGAGATGACAGAGGTGGCGGCTGGTTGTCGAAATTGGTGGATCCGGCCCAGAGGCTTATTACTTATAGTGCTCATAGGCTCTTCGCTTCGGTTTTCCGGAAACGCCTTGGCTCAGGTGAGACTCCTTTACAGTCTCCGGAGCAGCAGAAGCAATTTCCAGAAAGAGGTAAGGAGATTGTTGCTCTTTCCGATGCAAAGGTTTTTTTTTTTTTTGTTCCCATTCGCAGGTTCTGAGGTACTTAGAAAAATTGGATTTTGGATTGTAGATACTTTTAGCGTTTGGATTCACCCTTTCCTTTTTTTTTTTTTTTTTTTTTTTTTTTACAATTTTTTAGAACTGGTAAGTACATAAAACGTTGTTGGAATGTTTGTCGAGTAGCTAGCCAGATTAGAGATTGTTTATGTATTAATAGCCGGTTGTTGCTAGCAGTCATGTATGGAATTCTTTCTTCGCTTTTCTAAGTGGACGTTGTTAATGTGTATTGTTTCTTTTATCATGGACTAGATGTGGATGAGGAGACGAAGGTAGGACACAAGCAGGACAACGTCTCCAATGTAAGCAAATGAGCTGCATCTGTAGATGAAATGTCTTCTTTCTTTGGATTTGCTTGTTCCTTTATCCGCTATAGTGTTTAACATATGTTTATTTATTGATTTGGTCTATGTAAAGCCTTCCATGAAGAATGATTTGATTCAGATGGAAGATACCAATGAATCTGTTGATCCAACCAAGGGTGGATATACAGATCTTGAGAAAATTTTACAGGGGAAAACTTTTACAAGGTACACTATCTTACAAGTTATACATTGTGCGTATAACCCAGTAGCGTAATGACCCACACCCTTAAATTTTCTTAATCTGTTGATGGATTCAACATTCAGAATTTGAATATAAATTACCTAATATTTTTCCTCTTTTTCTTTTGATGTGTTCACTTAAATATTTCTAGACGTCTTGGCATTTTTTATGTTCTGAAAATTTGTTGATCACTTTCGATATTTTACAGGTCTGAAGTTGATCGATTAACTACCTTGCTGCGTTCAAAAGCTTCTGATTCGTCCACTGTGAATGAGGAGCAGAGAAATGAAGTGAGTATTGTTGTGAGACATCCGCCATCACATGAGAGGGATAGGACGCATCCAAATAATGGAAGTATGAACGCCATTGTTTCAACACCTCCCGGAAGTTCGAGAGTAAGAAATTTGTTAGACGTATTAAATATACTAGTCTGTTTTAGCTGAGCCTCATATACAAGGTGGAGTTGTTAATATTCTATTGTTGATGACATCCTTGCCAGGCTCTCGTTGAGTGTGGTGCTTCGCCAGCACAGCTTGCAAAGGCCTACATGGGTAGCAGACCTTCAGAAGTTACTCCTTCTATGTTGGGTTTGCGTGGTCAAGCGGGCAGAGAAGATTCTGTTTTCCTGAACAGAACCCCGTTTCCGCAAAAGTCACCTACAATGTCACTGGTACCAAAGCCTTCTGGACAAAGAGTTTTGGAAAATGGTTATGTCACCCCTAGATCTCGGGGAAGATCTGCTGTTTATAGCATGGCCAGAACACCATACTCTAGGCCTCAGTCCACTGTGAAGGTTTCAGTTTAGAGCCATAATTGGTTATTAAGTTTTGAGTTTGTTCTCTATTTTTACACGGTGTTCTTTTTTTTCTCCAGCAGATTGGGTCTCTTTTTCAAGCATCTCCAGGTACATGGGAAGAAAGCTTGCCTTCTGGTTCTAGGCAAGGATTTCAATCGGTGAGAACGGTTTTGACTATGCACCAAATGGGTTTAAGATTAGTCTCTGTAAACAAAGTACTGACATACTTTTATTTAATTTTATAGGGACTTAAGCGGAGGAGCTCAGTCTTAGATAATGACATAGGATCTGTGGGCCCTGTAAGGAGGATTCGTCAAAAATCTAACCTTTCGTCCCGAAGCCTGGCTCTCCCAGCTTCCGAGAGCCCACTCTCTGTCCGCGCCAATGGTGGACAAAAAACTACACATACATCTAGAGACAGTGCAAAGGATATTCCTGGTTCAAGTTTTAAACTTGTTCCTACCCAGTCCAGTGATATGGCTTCAAAAATATTTCAACATCTTGATAATCTGGTTTCAACAAGGGAGAAATCGCCTAGTAAGTTATCACCATCAATGCTACGTGGTCCTGCACTCAAAAGCCTAGAGAATGTGGAGGCACCAAAGTTCTTGGATAATCTTCCTAAGAAGAAGGGAAAATTGCCAGATTCTGGCTGTCAAAAGCAGGAAAAATCTAGAGAGAGTGGGTCCAGAGAGGTGTTGGCTCCAAGTGAGAAGGTTGGTGGTACTGTTGATGGCACAAGCAAAACAGGTTCCAGTCAAGATCAGAAGGCTCTTGGTAAAGGTGCTTATTTGCCTCTCACAAGTTCGTTGGAAGAGCATCCTCCAAAAAAGAGAGCATTTCGGATGAGTGCGCATGAGGTATATTCCTTATTTCTTATAGTTAGAGTCTTGAATGTTAATGTCAAAGCGGGAAATCCTAAAAACGCCAACCCTAACACTTCTTAACTGCAAATATGACTTTGTCCAGTTAGGTTTTCCCTTTGTCAATATTTTTGCTGTACACCTTTGACCAGTCTATATATACAACTGTGATAATGCAGGATTTCTTGGATTTGGATGATGATCATGGTGCGGCATCTACTCCCTTTGAAGTGGCAGAAAAACAGAATGTCTTCAAAGTAGAGAAAAGTCGTATCAACATGCCTAATGGGGAGAAACTACTTACTCCGTCTGAAGCCATGCCCTCTACATCATATATATCTAATGGTGACGCATCTCAGAGTACTTCTAATGGATCTCTGGAAACTGGAACGATCAAGTTCTCTGCTTTTCCCACTGAAGCTGTTCAGCTAAGTAATATGGCCTCTGAGCCAACTTCAAAGTTCACACAAGGGACTGAGAAATCGAGTATTTCTCCTGGCCAGCTAACCTCAAAAGAGAAAGTTATCCCTCTCGAAGAGCCTAAAAAAACTGATGCTGTATTTCCCAGCATCTTCTCATCACCGGCTGCCACTGACTTATTAAATCAAAACACTGGTGCATCTGCAGACATCAAGTTAGAAAAGACGAGCAGGTGGGTGGCATGATTATTTTTTCTCAGTTTGATAGGCACCTATTTCATCACGTGTATATTAACTAGTGAGCCTCACCAATATTGGTTTTGAAAGTTTTTTACTAGCGTCTGACTCTCTTTCTTGATGTTGCAGCTCTGGTTTTGGATTATCAGGGGCTTGGGCAAAACCATCTGAATCAAAGAAAACTTTCAGCTACAGTGCTTCTGGAGTTGAGTCAACTACCTCAGCTGCATCAACCCTCAATGGTAGTATATTCTCAGCTGGAGCAAACACTGTCAGTTTACCTCCAAATAATGGTTCTTTTAATTCAAGCCCTTCTTTCCCATCTAGTATCTCAAGTAAACCTTCCGATAATTCTTCGGGTGAGGTACCGTCCACTGTGCAATCTCTTGCTGCTACTCCCAATTCCTCTAGTATATTTGGAAAGTTGCCTGCTAATACTAGTAACGACAGCAACTCACAATCAACTGCAGCACCTCCCGCCTCTTCTTCATCACCTTTCAAATTTGGGGAACCTGCAGCTCCATTTTCTGCATCAGCTGTAACTCAATCTAGCGGTCAGATCTCAAAGGAGTCTGAAGTAAAAAAGTCAACATTTGAAAATACAAACACTTTCAAGTTTGGTGGAATGGCTTCAGCACAGCCGAGCACGGGCAGCGATTTTGGTGCTAAGTCCTCAGAAAATAAAAGCACGCCAGGTTTTGTGTTTGGAAGCCCATCTACTGCTTTGGCAGATGCAGGTAAGAATATCTTTGGTGGGACATCCTCTGTGGTTGGTGGCAGCACATTAAACCCTTCTACTGCTGCATCTTCTGCAACTGCGAGCTCTGGAAGTTTAATATTTGGTGTGACATCTTCCTCAACCCCTGCGACTGAGGCCAGCAAACTTTCTGTGAGTTCGGCAGCTACTAACGCTGGAAGTAATATTTTTGGTACTTCCTCTCCTGCATTTACAAGCTCTGGCAGTAGCATGTTTGGAAGTGTAGCTGCAAGTACAGGAAGCAGTGTTTTTGGATTCAATGCTGCTTCATCAGCTTCTGCTGCTAGCTCTCAATCTCAGGCCTCAAATCTTTTTGGTGCTGCAAATGCTCAGACGGGTAATACTGGGAGCGGAACCGCAACAGCAACCCAAAGCATCCCCTTTCAGTTTGGTTCATCTGAATCAGCTCCTTCATTCGGTTTGTCTGGGAGCTCTTCTCTTGCATCAAACAGTTCTCCGTTTGGATATTCAAAGCCGGAACCTACGGTATTTGCTTCTGGCTCAACTCCCCAACTGAGTTCGATTAACTCCTCTGCAAGCTCTAGTGGTACAACGAGCTCTCCCCTATTTGGGTCTAGCTGGCCAGCTCCCAACTCTGCTCCAGTCTTCAGTTCCTCATTTACCACTGCTTCATCTCCCACATTTACCTTTGGAGGATCTTCTGCTGCTACTGGTTCAAGCACTCCTGCTCCCATTTTTGGTGCATCTACCAACACCCCATCATCTTCACCTATCTTTGGTTTCAGCTCAACAGGTCCTGCCACTCAGCAGCCGATATTTGGTAACACAGCCCCCTCAGCAAATCCATCACAGTCTCCGTTTGGTAACTCAACTCCCGGGTTTGCATTTGGTGCGCCTAATAACACAAATGGTATCAGCAATAACCAACAAGTAAGCATGGAAGACAGTATGGCAGAAGACACAGACCAAGCTAATAAAGCATCCATGGTAGCGCCAATGTTTGGACAACCAGCTGTCTCGATGCCTCAGCCAAACTTTAGCTTTGGCGGGGGAGCAGCAGCGCAGCCTCCATCAATGGCTAACCCATTCCAGTTTGGAGGGCAGCCGATGGCAAGCACACCACAGAACGCATCACCTTTCCAGGCATCACAGAGTCTAGAGTTTCAAGGAGGTGGGAGCTTTTCACTAGGCAGCACTGGAGGCGGCGATAAGTCAGGCCGCAGAATCTTTAAAGCGAAGAAAACCAACAGGAAGAAATAAGCAGCACAGAAAAAAATACATTGCTCATGAAGAGAGTAATTTCTGTTGGCTATATATGTACTCGGGTAGATTGGGATTCAGAGCATATCGTGGTATGATGAAAGAGGTAAAAATTATTAGAGTATGGGGTTCCCTTTTTGCGTCTATGCTTCTTCATCATCTCTTTTGTGATCGTGTCAACAACAATAGCAAAGATTTGGGAGTTGAATTGTTCAGCGTTATAAAAAGTTGTAGGAAAGTTTTGTAATTCTCAGAAAAAATTACTAGAGTCTGTAAGAGTAGTATAAGAGCTCTGTCTCTCTCTGTTTTCCTTCAAAGAAAAACTCTCTCTATTGAGTGAGTAGTGTTTGTAAACACTTTGGTCAATTCTTCTTCAGTTTTGGTTTACGTTACTGGAAAAAATTATGGTTCAGGTAACTCGGTTTTACTAAATTGAACCAAACCGAACCAAAATCGTTTTACCTTCTTCTAGGAAGCTTCTTCTCGTTGACCAATTCATCAAGAATTTCGTTTACTCAAAATCCAATTAAGAATATCGTGAATACGAAACCCTTTAAAGAGAAGTCTTCTTCTTCTCAAAAACAATTCAATTTCTCTTCTTTTCGCCAAAGTACATTTGTCTTCCGTCTCAGAGAATTTTGTCACGGAGTAGAAGACGAAGAAGGAAGATGAGGAGAGTTTTCGGCGCGAAAAAGAACACAGAGCCTCCTCCGTCCATTCAGGATGCCTCTGATCGGGTTTATCCTCTCTCTCGCGTTTCTTATTTTTCCAGTTTCAATTGACTAATTTCCTCTTGGAATCGTTTTGTATGTACGTAATGTGGAAGAATTCGTGACTGCTGTTGAGATTTCGTATTTCGTATTTACTGGTATTTAGATAGAGCACCAACCAATCCATAGGAAGGTTTAAGAGCTATTGGGACCAACTTAGATCCGAAAGAAAATTTGAGTTTCGTTTATGTTTTGTCAGATAAATAAAAGAGGAGATTCGGTTGAAGATAAGATAAAGAAGCTTGATGTTGAGCTCTGCAAATACAAAGAACAGATTAAAAAGACTAGACCTGGTCCTGCTCAAGAAGCTGTCAAAGCTCGTGCTATGAGGGTTCTCAAGCAGAAGAAAATGTGACTCTTTCTCTTTCTCCATTGTTGTCTATTGTTATACTAAACCGATTCTGCATTCTATTTCAAGCTGAGACGGAACACAATATACTTTGCTGATTACATTACATTTTGTTGAATTAGGTATGAAGGACAACGCGACATGCTCTATAATCAAACCTTCAATCTCGATCAAGTTTCATTCGCTGCTGAAGGCCTCAAAGATGCTCAACAAACTGTATGTATCTTCTGTCCCTCATTGTTCTACAACTGATTTGGGTCTTACATAAAAGTTGAAGAGGTGCTTAAGTGTTTGACTGTTTTGTTTATCTATTCTATCTGCAGATGACAGCACTAAAATCTGCAAATAAGGAGTTGAAAGGAATGATGAAAACCGTAAAGATTCAAGATATTGATGTACATTGTTAACTTACTTATAACATCTTGGTTTATTTATCTTATTTCTAGCTTTCCTCTGCTGTTTGGTTTACCTGACACTATCTCTGATGGTACAGAATCTGCAAGACGAGATGATGGATCTGATGGATGTGAGCTCTGAAATTCAAGAAACACTTGGTAGGAGCTACAATATTCCCGATGGTCTTGACGAAGATGATCTCATGGGCGGTAATGTTCTTGTTGTTCTGTAATTGGTAAATCAAGATAAATCTCTTTCAATCCTATGCGTTTCTCATATCATTTACATCTACCTTTTACATATTTCAGAGCTTGATGCTCTTGAAGCTGACATGGGTAACGAGACCGAAGCAGATGGAATGCCTTCTTATCTCCAACCCGATACAGAAACAGATTACGATAGCGAGCTTAACTTGCCTGCAGCACCAACAGGACACAATGGAGCTCCGCATGGAAGAGTTCAGGTTAGTTTTTTCATCTTTAGAATTTTGAAATGTTATAAGTATGATTACCTTAGATTGATGGCTAATGAGACCGTTTAACAATGTGATAAACAGGCTGAGGACGAATTTGGATTGCCAGCGGTGCCACGAGCTTCTCTCCGGGGATAAGTTCTGGTGAATCTCTTGTGGAGTGGGATACTTACTAAGCTTTATTTTATTAGACCTTAGTATTTTCCATTCATTTTGTGCATAACGTTTTTTAACTTTGAAAAGTCCCCTCTTGGCTTTCGTATTGAACTAAATATTTTCACATATGATTTTTACATCATTAAAGCACAAGTGAGGAGAAATTTCTATATTTGCAGAAGTAATCATATTTACTGTAGTAATGCCAAAAATAGCAAGGTTTAATGGGCCAACTAAAAATATTAATGGGCCTTTTGCCGCTTTGAAATCTCCCTCTCCCTCTCTCCTTGTTGCTTCTGTCTTCATCGATGGATCAACCAACACCAGATCGGAGCAAGCGACAATGGAAATTCTCGACGTTCGTCTACTTTTCATCGATCTTATTCCTTCTTCTTTCCATATTCGTACTCGACTTCACTACGACTGATCTCTACAAATTCCAAAGTCTGAGATTCACCTTCACAGCGAACCGCATCTATAGCTATCTTCAATTTCTTCTAGGGTTCTACAACGGAACTCCCGATTCCAATTCCGAAACGGTGAACCCAGGTTCTTCTACGTCCCATTGCGTGTTATGGATGGCACCTTTCCTCTCGAGTGGTGGTTATAGCTCAGAAGCTTGGTCTTACATTTTGTCACTTCGTCGAAATCTCACACACCCGAGATTTCGAATCACCATCGAGCACCATGGCGATCTGGAATCGGTGGAGTTTTGGAATGGTTTAGCTAAGGAGACTAAAGAGCTAGCGGTGGAGTTGTACAGAACACAGTGTAGACCCAATGAGACGATCGTTGTTTGTCATAGCGAGCCTGGCGCTTGGTATCCACCATTGTTCGAGACTCTTCCTTGTCCTCCCACTGGTTACGAAGATTTCTTATCTGTGATTGGTAGAACAATGTTTGAGACTGATAGAGTCAATCCAGAGCATGTAGAGCGATGTAACCAGATGGATCATGTTTGGGTTCCTACTGAGTTTCATGTCTCTTCTTTCGTACAAAGTGGGGTTGATTCTTCTAAGGTTGTCAAGATTGTGCAGCCTATTGATGTTGCCTTCTTCGATCCGTCAAAGTATGAGCCTTTGGATCTGATGGCGATTGGGGATTTGGTTTTGGGTTCCAAGATGAAGAACTCGGGTTTGGGGTTTGTGTTCTTGAGTGTGTTTAAGTGGGAGCAGAGAAAAGGTTGGGATGTGTTGTTGAAAGCTTACCTGAGAGAGTTCTCTGGTAAAGAAAGTGTTGCTCTGTTTTTGTTGACAAACGCATATCACTCGGATAGTGATTTCGGGAACAAGATTCTAGATTTCGTAGAAGAACTGAATATAGAAGAGCCTAGAAATGGTTACCCTTTTGTGTATGTGATTGACAAACACGTAGCTCAAGTTGATTTGCCTCGGTTGTACAAAGCGGCTGATGCGTTTGTCTTGCCTACAAGAGGCGAAGGATGGGGACGACCGATAGTGGAAGCCATGGCAATGTCTTTGCCTGTGATAGCAACAAACTGGTCAGGACCAACAGAGTATCTGACAGAGCAGAATGGTTACCCGTTGGTGGTTGAGGAGATGAGTGAAGTAGAGGAAGGTCCTTTTGAAGGGCATCAATGGGCAGAGCCATCTGTCGATAAGCTTAGGGTTCTAATGAGGCATGTAATGAGTAATCCAGATGAGGCTAAGGTTAAAGGAAAGCGTGGAAGAGATGACATGATGCAGAAGTTTGCTCCTGAAGTTGTTGCTAAGGTTGTTGCAGATCAAATCGAGAGGATCTTTGATGAGAAAATAAGAACATGAAAGATTTCACACTTTGCTTAGATCAACTAAGAAAATGAGAGGGAACAGCATTGTATTTTTAGTCATGGGTTGTTGATAAAAAAGCAAATATTGTCAAGAAGAGCTTATTCTCTAGTTTCTTATCAAAAAAGAACTTAGAAACAATGAGTTTAGTTTTATGTTTCTTTTTTACTAATGGAGATGAGAAGCGAAAGCTGACATGACTTCCTTGTACACTGGCTTCTTGAATTCCACAGCCTGTGTAATGAGAACAAAAGAAGAAGATGAGTAGAGAAGTGGTAGAATAGAATGTAAATTTTGAAGCTGAATACAAAGAAGTAAAACTGTACGCACTTGTTCAACGACTTGATCAGGAGAAGTCCAGGACCATTCTCCAAACTCGGGTTTCTCAGTGCCATCGCCAAGCAGATTAATTTCTTCATCTTTCCCAGTAAATTTCAGAAGAAACCTAAAAAATTCCCAAAATTTGAACAAGAACCGAAAGGAAATGACATGATTCTTGATTATCTCATAAGAGTGTCCAAAAAATCTAACCATTTCTGTGCTTGACCCTTCCAATCCGATCCCCATCTGACCTTAAGCTTCTCTCTAACATCAGGAGGGAAGTCGTAGGTGATCCAGTGAGGTGCCTACAGCCCCAAAAAAAGAATTGTCTTAAACATGTTTCTTCATAGTTGAGATATATATATAAAAGGTTTAGAAAAGAAGAAGCAAAACAAAGACCTCAGCTACAATCTCAGCGGAGTGAACTCCAGTCTCTTCTTTAAGCTCTCTCATGACTGCAACTCTTGGATCTTCACCCTCGTCTATTCCACCCTATCAACATCAACAACAACAACAACACACGACCCTATTCAACTGATTCCACAAACAGAACATACATATTCTTAACATTTTGAATCCAATCAGCGAAGAAACCGATTCAAATCATAAAAGAAATGGAATGACTATAGAGAGAGAGAGAGATCTCAACCTGAGGCATTTGCCAAGCACTGGGAATATCCAACCTCGAGGCAGTGAAAATCTGCAGTTTATTGAGCAGAGAACCAACATATCAGCAAAACAAATTATAAAGATGAAGCTGTCTCCGGACATCATAATCATGATCACCTTTTTGCAATCATTCATGAGGCAGACACCGACATTTCTTCTGTAACCTTCGGGAGGAGATTCCATTGATGAAGACGACGAAGAAGAACAACACCGAGCGGAGGAGTAGGCTGTAGTCTGACGGCAGCTGTGAACGAAGGGCAGGCTGGAGAATTTGAGGGGTTTCGAAGGGTAATTTCGGAAAAAAGGAATTACAGACGGAGAAGTTGGATGACGATGATGTAAGAGAAGAAGAGGTCGGTAGTATAATGCCATTTACAAGGCCACTCCACTCCTATTTCGAGCCAAAACAAAACCTATTCTTTAACAATAATATATAATTTGACAAATTATGCACTTGACTCTCTTCATAAATATCACGTACATAACCTTATTCTTGATATTTATTTTTATCATATTTATTTGTTAATCACATATATAGGAATACGAGCTTCGTTGTGAAAGAGATGAGCTGTGTATGGTTTCCAATTGATTGCGATTCCAAATCAAGAAAAAAGTCATAATGATTAAACACAAACAAAAATAAGTCAAAACAAAGCAAAAGCTCTAAATTCGATATGTTGTTGAATCCAAGGAAACCACATGGTTTAGTATCTCTTTCCTGGCCTGCTAAACATAGGTGCAATAGCTTGTGGCTCCACTTGGGAGAACCCAGGAGTATCAGACATTCCCAAAGAGGCAAGCATCTCTAGCGTCTCTTTGTCAACCTTGATCTCATCGGTTTTTATGGCTGACTCGTCGGGGACAAAGTCCATTCGCCTTTCACGCTCTTCCTCTTGTAGCTTGAGGGAGATTCCACGGACTGGACCCTTTTGGATACGTTTCATCAAGTGGGTGGAGAACCCAGCAATCTTGTTTCTGAGCCTCTTCGATGGGATGATTGCAACTTCTTCCAAGATCTTTTTGTTGGTGTGGAAGTCAAGAGTCATCCTTGAGTAGTACTTCTCAATCACCTGACGTGAAGACTTCTTCACTGTTTTGGTACGAACACGACCCATGTTTTCACAACTTACCTGCCCAAAATTAAGACAAAACATGAGAGATGAACATTCATAGTCTATACAAATCACAGAATTGCAGATACATCAACTTTTCAGACTCCTAAACTATGAAAGAATCTAAGCTCAAGCAGAATCTTGAGTGACTATAATAAACTGTGTTCTTTACCACTACCTATATGACTCAGGTTTTTGTTACGAGTCCAAAAAGACGAAATCCTCAGACATTGAGTAGCATCAGAGATAAAGCAAACAGTTTTTTCTACAAAATTCTGTAACACAAAACAAGAGAGATCCTAAAATTGAGCTGCATTTGTACCACAAAATCAAATAAAAAACATCAAAATTAAGCTGCGTCTGTAATAAAAGAACAATGAATTTCAAAACTTCTATATGAATCTGCACACAAACTAAATCTAGACTTCAGACACAAATCGCAAAAATGCTAAAACCGGAAGATACACACGCACACAAGACTGCTGGATTCTCCTATGTGCTCCTTTATAATAATGTACACTCTAAAGGTAAACAAAACGTTACCTGTTGTACGGCTTGGCCGGAGCTGGAGAGTAGAGAAGCGTGCGGTGAAAATGAGAAGCGGCGGCAAAAGATCTGAGATGGCGAACAACTTGTGTATATAAACAAGATAATGAATATTTAGGGTTTTCTATGAAGACTGTACTCGTCTATACTCGGGACTACTTTAACATAGTGTACCTTAACCAATAGTATCATAGACGCATTTGGATAAAACTCAAATTATCCGATTAAAACTTATTCAAACGGGCTTTAATATGAGGCCCATTTAATAGTTGTTAGTCATGTGGTAATGTTTTTGTCCGATGGATCTAATATATTGATGAGAAACGGCAAGACAAAGACAAGTAACAGTAGGCAAAACGACAGGGCATTTCGTTTCATCATTAAAAAACAACAGGTGTTTTTGTATTTGCGCATCCATTCCATGGGATGGGATGGGAGGATCCAATAATAAAATGGGCTTTGTTAAGATCAAACCAACTAATAGTCGAAACAATTTCCAATTTTTTGGGCCCAAACATATAGTTTATACTTTATACAACAACAACAAAAAAAAAATCGTAAGGATGGTATAATACTCAAATACGCTTTTTCGGATTGTTACTTAAAAGCATGATGTTCAATGTTGATATGCTTTTGTGGATGTTAAGTGTTAACACGTTATCCATGATCGACAAGTTACAGGCATGATCATGACTTAACATATATTGTGGACACCTACATTTTCGACATAACGAATGTGGAATAAACGAACCAACTTGCCTTTACTGTTTGTTTTTAGCAGCATCTCATCAAAAGTCTCATCCCTTTTCTAAATATATATATATATAGGAAATATAAAACACTTAGTGTATTCCATAAACTTGTTGAGATCTTTATAATCTTCTAATATCAAACCTTATGCATACTATTTATCTATCCATTTTAACAAAACACTATTAGATGATCACATTGTCAAAACTTGATAGATACATAATAATATACTATCGTCTAACAATTCTCTATTCTGATAAAAACAATTTATTGGTAAGAAAAAAAAATATTTTAGTTATATATGTTGGAACTATATTTGGGGTTGTCATTTTCTTAGTGGCTTTCGAATATATGTTATTTAGATGATTATGAAATATATTCTATGGCTATAAAGCGAATGTCAAAAACTGGAAATCAAAACAAAATCTTTGAGAAAAGAAAAGTTAGTCAACGAAGATGCATGACGAAGAAACACTCTCAAGTGTCAAATCTTGAAAGGCAAAAAAGTGAAGGTTGACTACTCTGACAATGGACTTCACTAGCTTCGGCACATTTTGCCTTGACTTCCATTTATATTTTATATTCACATACTATATAGTTTATACATTTTCTCTCTTGAGCAAACATTTACAGTCTTTCGAACAAGGTTACATGCAAATAAAACATGATGATACCAAGTAACATCAGTTCATACCTCAACGCACCACTGTCAAAATTGGCACCAAGTTCATTGTACTAATACTAAAAATAAGCATTGTAATTTAACACAAAACCCTGTTGATTCTCTCTAGGCTTTCCACGTCTTTGAAATCAAGAGATCCATCTCCTTCAGCATCATAGCTCGCATGAACACTATAAAACACATACACAAGCACTGCTAATCCAGAGAAGAAACCGAATCTGATATAAGAAGGAGCATCCAACGATCCAAGCAAGAAAATGTTCAAAAATATGGAAACGCATGGAGTCCACGGCATCAACGGTACACCCCAAAACTCAGGGATTATAGCTTGAGGTACAACACATTGGAATATCTGCACGATGGCTATAGCCGTGACCGCGCTGGCATCAAGCATGAACCATTTAAGTGGGCCTGGCGGTACTAGTTGCCAGACTAAGGTGAAAAAAATGGAGGTTATGGAGAACAGGCAGAGGAAGGAGAGTGTTGGCCATGGCATGGTGTATCCGAGCGCTACATAACGACGGAATATAACGGCGTTTGCGACCATGTAGAAGACGAAGAGCGTTCCGATGGAGACTAGGTTTAAGAGGACGTTTAGGTCGGTGAAGAGGGCGAGAGCGGCCGTGAATATTCCTGAATAAAACAGTATAGAGATAAGCATTTATGAGTTAAGCACGAAGGATATGCCGAGCCTCATATTCTTTTTACATAGTTAGTTTAATCAATCAATCAGATACGTATCTGATAACGCAGATATATTCCAAGATGTAAAAAATGAAGATATTGCAAGAATCTCTTCCACTAGTTCACTTGGTGAATTAGTCACGTATTTGGCAAAAGATTTATTCCACGTTCAAGATCTCTCTTTGGTCTTTGTTCAAAAAAGATTATAGAGTTTTCTGAGTTAAAAAGTATAGTATCCAAGACTTTTAGATGAGCACTTTTTAACTTTGGAACAAATGAACAGAAAAAAATGTTGGTATTGATTCGCTACCACGACTCATGCATTTTGGGGAAAACTATATAATATAAATAAAGATTCCAAGATCACTCACTCACCAATAATGAACTAATATACATGATTATGCAGACTGATGATGACCTGACCTAAAGATGTTTATGCGTTAACGCTGCATAAAGTTTTGAAATTTAAGTGCTAGAAACACAAAGAAGAAGAAGAAGAATAAAAGCTGAACATATCAGTTTTCACTAAAGAACAAAAAGGGACCAAAGAGACTCAACAATACGTCACAATCAAAACCGTTGAAAAGATTGAAACCTTTCGAACCCGTTTGGTGAACACGACCACGACATTTTTTATCGTATTCGATGCTCTTAATCAAGACCTAAACACCCAAAAAAACACATAAGGACATAAGACTATGGCCTACATTATCATAGAAACACAGTCACACAGCTACCAAACCACAATCACTATCAAATTCAGTTGATGAAGATTTTGATTCTTTTCTTTTGCTTTTCCCTTTCCCTACACGTATATGTATGCAAAATCACGTGAAAAGTATGATTGACATTACGCTCAATCCAATAAAAGATCGATCATATGGAAACAAACAAAAACTATAATATGTATGTCCCCACTCCCTAAATTGTCTCTTTATATTTTCATGAGAAAAAACATAAACCGATCTTAACGAAAGGAAAATTCCGACATAACCTTAACTATGTATTCGATTAGATGCTAATCAAAGAGTTGAACGTTTAGAGAGAGTGAGGACAAAAAAAGTTACCAAGAAAAGCGGAAGCGTTGACTGGAGTAGATGTGTTGGGATGAACCTTAGCGAACCAAGTAGGGATCACTCTAGACCGTCCGATGACGCACATGTACCTAGCCTGACCCAACATCGCTACTAACAAGGACGTTAATATCCCAAAACTTGCTCCGATCCCAACCACTTTCGTCACCCATTCCCATCCTTCCGATCTACTAAACGCCCCCGAGTACGGTGCTTCTGCATCTATCTATAAATGCGTACATAACCATATTACCACCAATTACCAACCCATAGAAATATTTCTATATAAAAACAAAGTCACATTATTGATATATATATGTTACGGACCAGATCGTACGGGAGGAGCATTGACATGGACAAAGCCATCAAACAGTAAAGTACAATGACGATTGCGACTGAGCCAGAGATTCCCATTGGTATATCTTTGACCGGGTCTTTTACTTCTTCCGCCATCGTCGAAACGGCGTCGTATCCTATGTAACTTAGGTATACCATCGCTGCTCCCTCGAACACACCCGAAGCTCCGAAAGGGAAGAATCCGGATGGGTTCTCCGGGTTATCGGGTCGGGTTAGGTTCTTCACGTCTCCTTTCCAGAAACCCATGACGATCACGAACACTATGAACGCAATGTGTAACGCCGTCAACACCATGTTCACCTTCGAGCTCTCTCTCGTGCCGTAGCAGATGATGAAAGTGACGGCGAGCACGACGATCACGGCGATCGGATCTATCTCGTTGAATCCGTTTGGGAGACCGGCGACGGCGAATCTCCACTCCGACGTTGAGATTCCGAATGCGGATCCCAGGTAAGCGGTGAATCCTCTCGATACGGCGGCGTTTGACATTACGTAGTCCATTATCAGATTTGCTCCGGTTATAAACGCCGGGAACTCGCCTGTAACGGAAAAAATGAATGATCGGAGAAGAAACGGTTACGGATTTGAAACGGTTACGATTTTGGCGGGAGAGTGTTGTGTTGAGTGTATAGTGTGAACTGACCGAATGTGATACGGATGTAGCTAAAAGCGCCACCGGCGACGGGGAGATGGACGGCGAACTCGGTGTAACAGAAGGCGGAGAGGAGAGCGCAGAGTCCGGCGATTGCGTAGGAGACGACGATTGATGGACCAGCGTAGAGGCGACTAGCACGGCCGGTGGTGACAAAGACACCGGCGCCGATCATTCCACCGATCCCGAGTCCGATGAGATCATACCAACGGAGAGTGCGGCGCATCTGTTCGCCGGAGACTTCGCGTACGCGGCTCATCTCGTCGTAAGAGGTGGAAACGGAAACGGCGCGGCGGGAGAAGCGGGAGGGAGTGTCGGAGAGTGAGTTTAAGTAGACACGGAGGCTAGCGAAGGAGGTGTCTCCGCCGTAGTTGCTGTATTGGGCCTCCATTTCGGATTCGGGTCGGGTCGATAATATGAATCGGATTTTATAATGTTTTGAGAATAAAATTGAAAGAAGATGGTTTTATAATGTGACTATGTGAGACTGCAAACCGAATCAGACTGAACAGAAGAGAAAGAAAAAAGTGTGACGCTTTTTGGTGTAATAATTACAAGGATTGGGAACACTAATTATTTAGTTTCTTTTTGTTTTTGGTCAACTTAGTTTTAATTATACTCCGTATTAAAGTAGTTTCTTGTTTTCTTTTTGGTGTATTCATTATGATCACATAATTAAGCATCCGCTAAAATAAATAAATCAGCGTAAGCATAGTCTAAGAAAGATTATGTAATTCTCAAAACTCATACTTAATTCGTCCTAGCTTTAATTGTTTTTGATAATGTTTTGACAACTTGTTGATAATGTATTCACAACTTGTTTGTTTAAACTTCAACGACTGCAATCAACGAATAGTCGAATACGAGCGTGTTTTCATTTGAGTGTCACAATGACCAGTAACCACTAGTAGTGATCGTGATTATATTTTAAAAACCACTTCTTCCAAATTACTCTCAAAATATTATATAATAATCCAATTATTTTATTCACAAATCACAACTTGGTGAAAACTGAAAAGGAATGATTCATTGTTGCCCTTAATCTCTCTGAAGAGATTTTTAAAAAGGAAGCAGACATTAAAAACCATCTCGTGATCGTTGATATGTATAATTGTTTCTTAAAACGAGATTACTGACTAAGTAATACATCAGTATAACTATATTTGCCTCAAATAAATGATTTTTATCATTCTAGCACGATTATTCAGATTTGCAGATGTTGAAATTGTAGAATTGTTATTTTGGAAATATGTATACAACAAAATTAAAATAATAATAATAATAATTTTTGTTTCTTTTATGAAAGAAAATACTGTTCTTTATTTACAAATATAAAATTTTTATTATTTATTTGGTTCTGTGATAAAACAAGTTTTTCTCTTTCTATACCTTTTGTATCTATGATATATTTATATATTTAAATTTAATTTTCTAACACGTGTCAAAACTACATATTTTTACATGCATGTATCATAATCTAATTGGTTGCTAATTTGTCATTACTAATAAGTTAATAAAACACATTTAACTTTTAATAAAGATATATAAGTAACTACATGAATGAACACACTAAATCAAGAAAAAAGCAAATTAAACAAAGACACTTGTATGCAGCATATAGCAAATACAATATGAACTTCTATATGTATCTGTATTTTGTAATTTCTCTTTTCTTTGTTTCGAATTAGTGACTTTATATATGCACGCACATAATTTCACTACATTGTATCTGAAGAAGAGAAAAAACTAAGAGAGGCTTTCGAGAAAGCCCAATAGGCCCATTTAAATAAACCTACGACGTTAAATAAAATAGACAATGACGAGGGTCAATTACTTTATTAACTCTATTATTTCTCACAAAAACGTTGACAAGAACGAAAAACCCTAAGCATCAGCAGATATCTTCACTATAATGTTGTTGTTGCCTTGTATCAGATTCCTGATCATTCGCTAGGTATTTCAAGATTTCGTTCTCTCTCTCTTATTTTGTTTTGTTTGGATATTAACATTAATGGCTTCGATTCCGCGGTGGACGAGGTACGATGACAAACGTTTTGAGATAGCTCTGGCGCAAATCCCGGATATTGAGAGAATCGCCCAGATTCTGCATAAACCGGTGGAGGAGGTGGAGTACTACTACAACGCTTTGGTCTACGATGTTGCGCTGATTGAATCGGGTGGGATAGCTCTGCCAAAGTACGAGGAAGACTATAACTTGCCACCGAAGAAAGCGACTGAGTCCAAAAGCCAGGGCATTGGGAGAAAGAAGGGGATTCCTTGGTCAGCCGAGGAACACAGGTTAGGATCTTACACTTATCAATATGGATGGATTACTTTGGATTCTGGAATTAGAGTTTCCCTTGACTAGGTTAAGTAACAGTTTAAAGCTAATTGCTAGGGTTGATGAATTAGGGTTTTGTTCGTTTGTTAATTAATTTTGATATGTGATCTTGATTATTAACATTTTGGTTGATTAATGATATAACTGCAGATTGTTTCTGGATGGACTAGAGAAGTATGGGAAAGGAGATTGGAAGAGTATATCGAGAGAATGTGTGAAGTCAAGGAGCCCGATGCAAGTGGCAAGCCATGCTCAGAAGTATTTCTTAAGGCAAAGTTCTGACAGTAAGAAGGGAAAACGCTCGAGTATCCATGACGTGACTCTGGGATATGTGGACAACGTAACCGTACCTGGATCCAACTTGAATTGCATGGGACACCAGCCACATTTTGGTGACCAACTTCCTCTAGATCAGTTTTACCACTACGACTCCCAGGACAATATTGGGCTTTTTGAGGATGATGATGATGGTAAGTGTTTGGCAAGATTTGAAGAACTATATTACAAGCTTTGAAGTTGGAGAACTATCTATTATAAGGCTTATTTAAGCTTTTTAACGAAATATTTTGGTTTTAAGGTATTAGAGTTTTTGTTTCTAGCCTAGACTTTAGTTGTAAAACAAACTTGAATGGTAATTTATTAGTTTTTGGTTCCTAAGTTCTAACAATGCTCTGTTTTTTTCTTTTTAAATGATCTATCAGATGAATTTGTAATTGACGCATACTCTTCTTGATTAAAAAAAAAATGCTATCTATTTGGACGACTAGAATTTTACTCTAAAAGATGAAATGAAATGTGACGCATACTCTTCTCACTCCTTTATTATAGAAAACAGAGTAGTGACACTATTAGCCAAAGGGTTTAGCGCCTTTGGGATTTGATTTAGGGCATCATTAATAAGATACTTTCTTAAGTAAAATCTTAGTTTAAGATACTGTCATTAATAATAAAGTATTGCATTCTTGATGATAGCCAATTTATACACACCTATGAAGAACAATAATTAAGAAAGAAAGTGTGCATACAGACCTAAATTTTCTCATATGACCATCCCAATAGGATATTCATGACTTTGTGTGGCTAAGTGCACCTGTGACCTCTATGAGCCTTAACCTCCTTAAAAATCCATCCCTAGAGGTCACTTCGCGGCTGCACGGAAGTGCTTTCTTGTGAATCTCCTAGTGTCGCATATGTTGTTCCATAGTCTGCAACTATATCGTAACCTCTGCAGAGATGTGGCCGGGACACGACAAAGTATCTCCTCTAACACAACCATTGTACGAAAATAGTTGAGACTGCTTTAGTATATATGATCTTTTACAATTACATAGGCTAGTGTTGGCTTAACATATAAAAACATTTTCCAGACAACTAAATATGGATCTAATTATACAACACACACTGAGGAACTAAAATGTAGTGTGTGCTAAAGCCTGAGCTAAAAAGTTTATGCCTTTATTTCAATGCAAAATCAGGTGTTTGATTCGTCTTCGAGAGACGGTGGGAAATGTGCACCAATTGTCTCATGTTGTGCTGCTTGGTATGGATTGAATTGCTGCGAGAGGATTCACCTGGTATGAAAATGCAAGCTTCCAGAAATCTACAAATGCTTTTCTCGTGGACTCCATTTGTCTGCGAATGATCCTGAGACATGTAAACAAACACACACAGCTTATTTTGTGGTTCACAGTGTATTCTTTTCATCACGTAATTTTTGTAATCGTTTAAGCATACCGATGTTCAGAAACAGGCTTAGAAGAATTCTTACCATACCAAAGCAGCTCTTTTTCTCTTCAAAGCATAACATATGATTAATCCAACAAGGCTTATGGCAACCTTTCCCTTGGACATGCTAAATTGGGTATTGCCAATCTTGAGGCTTAGAGGATGGGATGACCAAAGTGGCGAAGGTTCATGTTGTTTAGAGAATTTCAGGACAGAATCAATCTTATCATTCTTTTCATTAGACAAAGACTTGCTGTTATTCACTACAGCATAAGAAGAAGAATCCTCAAAAGAACTAGCCTCTGGAACGTTTGCTGTTTTGAGAGACAGTAAAGAATGCAATCTTCTCAAAATCCCCTGAAACAGAGGTTTGAGTGTAGCATCTTAGTAGGTACACATTTACAAGTTTATACACAACTCATGAAAAGATTCAATAGTACCTGTCGTCTTTCCTCAGGCAATGCAGCTTTCTCAACCCATGAAATGGCTAGGCCCACGTCATCTGAAACTTTAGCAAGAACTCCAAAGGTATACAGCTCCACAACTTCTAAAAACTCATCAATATCCAAAGATATTTTCCCATGGAACCCTTTTGCATCTACTCCAGCATCATTTAGGATATAGTGGTTGTCTTTGTATACCCATATGCTAAAAAAATCTTCCAGAATCTCACGTACACCCAAGTAGGAACCATTTGATATTTGAAGGCATATTCTAAAGGGGGAAAAAATGGAAGAAGGTCAATAAACTAGATTTCTACTATCGTGTTCTGTGACTTCTGTCTTTGCTAATGCATTTAGAGAGTAGTATTGTACTCCCCCTGATAAGTAAAAATTAGCAAATAAGATACGACCTCTCAAGTATTTTGTTCAAATTATATACTCTCACTCGCCTATTCGGTTATGAATGTCATTTGCTCCTAGTTCTAGAATCCATGGTAGAAAGAACCAAATATCCCCCTTTTCAAGCATTTTAAGTTGCTATACTGTGAAAGATTCAGATCTAGAAAGATACCCAGTGAGAAAAACTTGAACAGGGATAGCTGCAATTACGCCAAACGCATTTCTTAACTCGTTTACAATCTCAACTGTCCTGCATGAAAAAAAGAAATTTGTTGGAAAATACCTATCACAGAGCCAAAAACTCTAAAGCTCAAAAGAAGAGCTAGTCAAATCAGAGGAATTGAAAATACATTCAGAAGACATACCTGCCAATTCCATGCAAGGATTGGACTAAAACCATACCAGCAGATTCCAACATATCATGTAACTGGTGATCACCAAGAGCTTCCTCGGATAAGGCATCAATGTTACCAAATATTCTTCTCAGTATGGAGGAAGATAATGACTTTGCCTCTTCATACATAGAGGACACGAGGTAACTATAGACCCATCAAACAAAAGACAAACAAAGAGCAATCAAAATTAGCACTGAGCAAATCATAAGCATCTTCATTTTAACTTTGTTATTCATCAAGTATGAGATGAGTCTGTCTTTCTGAAAATTATATACATAATTGAATCAAAACCACACAGATAATTCATGTGAACACTAATTCTGGGCAAAAATCAAAACTGCCTTTCTCCTTCTACGCATCGCCAAGTACGGAAACAAAAAAAAATCGCAAAAAATAGCAAACAGGAAGAATTTAAGCAATTCATCAGGAGTACCTCTCAGAGAGTTCGATTTCTGCCCAAATATCAGTTGCCTCCATTGTTAGAAGTATTGGATGAAGCTTACCCAAAGCAACGAAGCGGTGATGATTGATTACGCTCGAATGGAGAAGACGAAGAAGGTAGCGAGGTGATAATTGTGGCATTTGCTACTGGGCTAAGATAATGGGCCTTTTCAGCACAAATTAAGCAAAGCAAGCCCACCCAATAAAGATATTATATTACCGCTTGCCAATTACTAGATTAACAAAGTTATCTTTATCTGATCTAATTTTGGCGGCTCTTTATTAGACTCGATGGAAGTCCTCACGTCACATCACAATTTCACATGCATGTCTTCTCTCTATTTACGATTACATCTACAATTTTTTATGTTGTCCTTTTTCATGTGAAATCCTTTCTACCATATTCCCCATTCCAAATCTAAAGTAATTCATAAGGTTAGAAAAAATAGTTAATGTTTGATTCGCATCATGAAATAATTAAATTGTATGTTTGACAATAATTGAAATATTTAGCTAGAATTAATTGTCAAAACTATAGGTTCATTTAATATAAAAAGCAGCATACATTGTTTTTTATAATCAAATAAATAATTTTAAACTCTTGGCTTAACAACAGCTCTCAACGGTTCTTTCATCACCACCGTGAACTCCAATTTCCCGGCGAAATTGATTTCACTTCCCGGCGGATAAGCGCTCCACTCAAACTCTTGAACCATCTTCGCTAGCATCAAGTGCACGTGTACGGTCGCCATCGCTAAACCCGGACAGATCCGACGGCCTACACCAAATGGCATCATTTTAACTCCGGTTACGCCGGTTATATCCGCTTCCTCCTTACCAGAAATAAACCGATCCGGTTTAAATTTCTTGGGATCAGACCAAAGCTTCGGATCCTCGTTAATTCCCGGGAGATAAAACTCGATGTTAATCCCAACAGGAACATCGTAACCGGCGACCGTCGTCTGCTCCGTCACGGAGTGAGTCAACGTAAAATAAGTCGGTGGATGTTTCCGGAGAATCTCCTTAACGACGGCTTGCAAAAAGACCATTTTATCCACATCTTTCTCCTCAACCTCACGATCTCCAACCGTCGATTTAATCTCATCGTAGAGCCGAGATTGAACCTCAGGATTCACAATCAGCTGCGCGATACCCCACTCGATCGCCGTCCCCGTCGTGTCCGTACCTCCGTTAAGAAACTCCGAGCAGAGAGACACGAGCTCTTCGTTAGACGGCGTCGATTTACGGCCTTCGGTTTTAAGGTCAAAGAGTGTATCGAGATAAGAGAAAGACGACGCCGTTTTATCAGTTCCCGGATTCTGAATCGCTCTCCGTCGTCTCTCGATGAATTTGACGATGAAATCAACTTGTTCGCGGCGAACCTCGAGAGCTCTTGCTCTCTCCTTGGAGTAAAACGGAGCAAGGATCGGGAGATAATCATCGAGTCTTGGATTTAGCGTGATCAGAACTTTCTTCATTACTTGATCCATGTTCAAAATCGCTTCTTCGTCCATTTCGATTCCGAAACACATCTCTAAAAGAATACAAAACGCAGCGAATCGTGCGTTTCTTAGGACCCAGACAAGACCGTTGTTGTCGTTAGCTTCTGATCTGATCCTCTCGACGAGTTTATCCATGGCGGACTGTCTCAACGAACCGAATTCTCTGAACCGGGTCGAGCTTAGCATGTTCTGTACCATGTTGCGTCTTAAAGACCGCCACACAGGACCATACGCCGAAGCGTTGACGGTGAAAGTGTTGGAGCTGAAGATGGTTCGGGTCGAATTTTCGGTGGGTCGGGTTGCGAACATTGGTCCACGTTGAATGAGAACGTCGTGGGCGAGAGCTGAATCAGAGATGATGATCATTGTTCGACTTCCCATCCTCAACGTGAAGATAGGACCGTACTTGCTCCTTACATCATCGACGTACTCGTAAAACTGCTTACCGGAGCGAGCGAATTGGAAGAGGTTTCCGACGACTGGCCAACCCGGAGGACCTGGAGGAAGCTTCACGCCCTTTGATCTAGAACTGGTCGTGCGCGTGATGATCAGTATAACCAAAGTGGATACGAGGATGGTGAAGAAGAGTACTGGATGAGATATGTTAAATGAAGTGGGAGAGAACGAGAAGAGAGACATGTTTTAGGTTCTTGTTTGGTTTGTAGCTAGCTATGGAGGATTTGGAATGAAAGGGTGAAGAAGCAGAGGAAAAGGTATTAAAACAGAGAAGAGCATGAGAATTTAGGTGAGGATAATTTAAAGTAAAACCGTTTTTTTGTACTTGATTGGTTTTTTCATTTAATTTGATGAGGCTGAGTTTGGTATGCACAACGAGTATGATAGAATTTAAAGTCTTGTCTTTTATGAGTACGGTTGTTGTTGTCGTGGCATTGTTTGCTAAAACAAAACCCACAAGGCCACAATTGTGCTTTAGGGGTTAATCTTCTAACGTGATTTTGCATGTCAACGATGCATGCATGAAACGTTCGAGTACCAAAGCTTTTGGTCATACAGACATCAACTCAACGAAAACTAAAATATCCGTCCAACTTTGTAGTTACATTCGTTCAATTTTGTTATAAATCTTAACAAAATAACCTTGATACATATGTCTACAAATGATAAATGCTAGTATTTGCTTCATATTAAAAAAATATAAAAAATCTCACAGCAAGTTTTTTTTTATCTTTTTCAATATCAATTATATTTACCAATTTCCCATTCTATGTTTTTATTAGAAATCTTAGTCAAGTTTTAACCCTCATAGATAACAGATTCCTATTATTAAATATAAAACAACGCAAAACATGATTTTTTAGTACCAGCATGCATATACGTTCATTTTTACATATGAGACTGTGAGAGTGTTTATCCACTTTTGTACGAATTTATAATGTTCAAATTGCTAATCACCACACGGGTCCATACATTGCTGACTGGACTGTGATTTCGCTGGAGCTGAAGATTTTACGGGTGGGAGTTTCACGGGTCGGGTCACGAACTGAGCTCCACGTTTGGTGATCAATGTTCGAGACCCTAACCTAAGAGTGAGGATCGGACCGTAGATCTTTACGAGCTCCTCGACGTACTCGAAAAACTGTTTGCCGGAGCGAGTGAACTGAAACAAGATTCGGATCACTGGCCAGTGGCCACCCTGGTGGGCCTGGCGGGAGTTTTATGCGGTTCGAATTGTGTTTCCGGTACGTTATGATTATAACTAAACCGGATATGAGAATCATGGAAATGGTTAAGAAGACATTAGGGGGCAAGTCAAGAGAAGTAGGACAATATGATAGGACTAGGAGTAACATTTTTATAAAAAGCTTAATGTGGAAGAATTGAAGATTAAAGCTTATTTATAAGAGTGAAATATTTGTAAATAATCATCCTCAGATTAGTCGTAAATGTTTATAATAAACTGTCCTTAAATGACTTTTGAATCTTTAATGTGTGGTTTCCTATTACTTCGTATTGTTGCTTATATTGCTTACCATTTCTATTTTTGATATAGTGTAAATTTTTATATAAAAATATCATATTAGACTTTTACAAATCAGCTTATAACCTAGAGCTATCTTCGGTTCTTAGTTACATGAGGTATAAAATCCTTTTTTTTTTTTAAACGTACAGCTTATATAATATACGTTTTTACTATTTTGATGGAAATTGGGAATACATACACTCAACCGTAAAAGGAAACGTTTGATTTACTCGAGAAACAAACCAAGACTGCCAAAATAGGCCGATCAGCACGAATGCGAGTGTAGATAAAAGTGGTGGAAAACATTATGTAATGTTGTAATGTTTAATTTTTTTTAGTGGTAAGAGGAGGCATCATGCTATGTTATAGATTGACTTATTTAGGTTTTTAAAGTGGTTAAAATTTGACAATTAAGAACCGACATATCATTTGGATTGAAGTGGTGGAATTTGTGAAATATTGCATTAATTGAATTGGGAGAAACTGTAAATTAAAGCTTTCAATGATAACTCATGAACGGGACATCGGGTAGAATTCGAACACCGGTAAAGGTCCAAAAATACATACGTCTTTTTGTGTCTATAATTTGGAAAGGTTTTGCAGTGATTTACGTATGCTAAAATAAAATTATTTAGTGCAAAACGCTTAAAAAAATAAAATAATGGAAAACAAAAGTATTAAGGAACAAAGAAAAAACAAGATAATTTTTTTGAAATACAGGTTTTACACGACAAGATTTCTACAAATAAGATGGCTATTTTTTTTTTTTTTTTGACAAGATTATAGATGTTGATGTGTAATACCAGTTCAAATTGTTGATAAACACCTGTGGATAGTTTCAATTGTTAAGACTTATGACATATTTTTGTGGACAACTAGAGATGATGTCTTCTACCGTCCAAACTTTAACTTTTATATACATAAATACTAAAAAGCAAAACCACTAATCTGAATAAATCATAATGCCTTTTATTTTCTTCTTGCCGGGTCATTTTTATTTTGTTTAATATCTAAGCATATATTACTTTGATGAATATTTATAAGTTGACCTCAGATTAATTGCCTTGACCTTTTTTTTTTTCTTTTTTTTTTGTTTGCTGGATAAATATACAAATAGATAGCGCTAACAAAATAAAGTACAAAAGGAAAAAAAGAAAAAACGACAACGCCGTACCAAAACTGTGTCGTATTAAATTGTTGTGTGGCGAAACAAATCCGTCGTTTTGCTCCGTTGATCGGCAGGTGAAAGTTTCGTCACCGTCTCTTTCTCTCCGTTTCTCTCTGATGCCGCCGCCGAGACCACCGTCTGGGCGGGGAAGAGGAAGGCCGCTGCGTGATTATTCGGAATCAGAGAAGATGATGGATGGTAGCGGTAGTTGGGATACGCTTGAATGGACCAAACTCGATGTAATTCCTCTTCTCTTCAATTCTCTCCCCTCCCCACCCTGATTCTAGGGTTTCTCACGTTTTCTTCCTTTTATCCCACAATTTGCACAGACAACACGTGAATGTCGTTTTTTTCCGTATGCTAAAAAGCTCGTATTCTGGTTATTGTATTGAATTAATTGCTCAAAAGTTTCTTCCTTGGTTCTCTCTTTTGATTGATGGGTCGCAGTCAGCTTCAGGGTCAGGCTCTTTCTCGAATTTGAGTTGCTTGCTGGAATCGGAGAGGGTCGTCGTCGAGGTTTGTTTTTTCTAGAGTTGGTCAAATTGATCTCTTTTATTCGAATTTTCCTTTTTAGGAACTTTGTTACCATACATATCTCTGGCTATTGAATTTTTGGGACTTGGTATGCAACTTCTGTTGTTTGTAGATTAACGGGAAATTCAGTATTCGTTATATATATGATCATTGTATCGAGTAGTATATTTTTTTTTTATTTTTTAAATCTTTTATCTGATTTTGGACCTTGTTTACAGGGTTATGGAGTTGTTCTTATTAACACTGATGAGGCAGGAACCTTGTTGGTGACAAATTTCCGTATTCTGTTTTTGGTATGGATTGTCTTTCCTCTGTTTCTTATATTTTTGTGCATCGTTCGCAAAGATTCTGCTGGCTTTATGCATTTGATCAATTTTTCTTCCCAATGTAATAGTTTAAAATGTAGAATGCAGGTCTTGAACTTACTATATTCAATATTTTCAGCATTAGGCCTTTAATGTATAGCTACTGCTGATCAATATACTCTTTGTTTCTCTTTGTGAAGAGTGAAGGAACCAGAAAGGTCATTCCACTTGGAACAATTCCATTGGCAACTATTGAGAAGTTTAACAAAATGGTCAGTTGCTATATACCCTGGGGACCAGAGCTATGTGGTTAATTTAGGTTCTGATGTTTTACATTGTTTATTCTATTTATTTCTGATCCATGGGTGATGAACATATAGGTGCTGAAAGTTCAATCAAGCCCCCGTCAGTCTGACAAGAATCCACCAAGACGTCTTTTACAGGTCACTGGTATGTTTTCGGACTTCATTTGCTATAGATGATTTCAATTAGGTTTTGTTTTGTCTAGATTTTGCTTCATATAGCTCAAAATCTGCTCCAGTGTTAAATTGCATTCTTGATTCTTAGCGTCCCAATACTATGTTGGACAATAAACATATTTCCATAGTGATGGTGGTTGAAGTGCTTTCTTCTTTTCGTACAACTTTATTTGATGCATCATGTATCTTACATGATATTATATGCTATGATCACTTGCATGGTGCAGGGAAAGACATGAGGATAATTGTTTATGGCTTTCGTCCTCGAACCAAGCAGGTGAAACTTTTACTCTTATGCTGCCTTACTCATTTCTCGCTGAAATCTGTATAACCTTTCATACTTTTGCAGAGACGTTCAGTGTTTGATGCATTACTAAAGTGTAGCAAGCCAGAGAGAGTATGGGATCTTTATACTTTTGCATGTGGGCCCTCCAAATTTGGTAACGCAAACCCAAAGGAAAGATTGCTTAATGAATATTTCCGTCTTCTTGGAAAAAGTTCAGTACGAGCATCAGTGGATATGATTGAAGATGGTTCGTTCACATTGTCCAATGAGCTGTGGCGGATAAGTGACTTGAACTCCAATTATAACTTGTGTCAGACTTACCCATTCGCCTTTATGGTTCCAAAATCCATAAGGTATGACACTGATATTTTTTTTCCGGATTAAAAAGAAGTCTCTGTCTGTCCCTTCTAGACTTTTAGTATTACTGTGCTCATAATTTAAGAGCTTTCCAGAAGTATCCTCTTCACTTTTCTGGCATGTCTCTTATTCTGTAAACGTTGTTCCTATGAGAATTATAAACAATAAAATAACAAGTCTCTGTTTCTGTAGTGATGAAGAGCTGCTCCAGGCGTCTTCTTTCCGGGCAAGATGTCGTTTACCTGTGATCACCTGGTGTCAGCCAGGTAGAAGTTCAGATATCTTGGCTGCTTCCATTTTAATTATGGTGGTACTGTTTCCAAATAACATGCTGCTGTTGGTCTCAATTGCAGGAAGTGGAGCTGTGATAGCACGCTCATCCCAACCTTTAGTTGGTCTTATGATGAATATGAGGAGGTATATCTGACTTTCAATTTCACGGGCAGCCATTTGGATAATTGTTTAGTTTTAGTTTTGGATTTCAAAGTTCTCAAAGCAATAGTATTCTGAAGTTTGAATTGTTTCAACTCCAACAGTAATTTTGATGAAAAACTTGTTGCTGCATTCTGCTCTCAGTTAGCTGGTGCAAAGGGAGAACGAAGGTGAGATTCTGATGTTTCCTTAGTCTGGTTAATGCTTATGTCTTGTATTTTATGCTTCATTATAGAGAGTTAAAATTATGGATCATGA